CAAATGACAAAGTTACCCCTGGTGCAATTTTTCTTTGTTAATTTTCTACCCAACACTTCTTCAACCTGACATAATTAATACGAAAATTAATTATTCGACGGCCTATATGAAGGAATTTGGCTAAAATCCCGTGATCCCGGGTGTGTACCCCGAGATCAATTTCTCGGGCCGTTTCCAATCAACCTGCCAAATTTCGGCCCATTTCGACACCTTCGCGACAAATGAAAAAATTACCCCTGGTGCGGTTTTGTGTTGTTAATTTTCTGTCCAATACTTCTTCAACCTGACATAATTAATAAGGAAATTAATTATTCAGAGGCCTATATGAAGGAATTTGGCTAATACGAAAATTAATTATTTGGAGGCCTTAACGAAGGAATTTGGCTAAAATCCTGAGATCTCGGGTCTATGCCCCGAGTCCAATTTCTCGGGCCATTTCCAATCAACCTGCCAAATTTCGTCCCATTCCGACACCATCGCAACAAATGACAAAATTGCCCCTGGTGCGATTTTTCTTTGCTAATTTTCTGTCCAACACTTCTTCAACCTGACATAATTAATAAGGAATATAATTATTCGGAGGCCTAAATGAAGAAATTTGGCTAAAATTCCGTGATCCTGGATCTGTGTCCCCAGTCCAATTTCTCAGGCCGTTTCCAATAAACCTGCCAAATTTCGGCCCATTCCGACACCGTCGCGAGAAATGACAAAGTTTCCCCTAGTGTGGTTTTACGTTTTTAATTTTATGTCCAACTCTTCTTCAACCTGATATAATTAATACGAAAATTAATTATTCGGATGCCAAAATGAAGGAATTTGGCTAAATCCTGTGATCTCGGGTCTGAGACCCAAGTCCAATTTCTTGGGCCGTTTCTAATCAACCTATCGAATTTCGGCCTATTCCGACACTGTCTTGACAAATGACAAAATTGCCCGTGGTGCGGTTTTACGTTGTTAATTTTCTATCCAAGACTTCTTCAACCTGACATAATTTATAGGAAAGATAATTATTCGGAGGCCTAAACAAAGGAATTTAGCTAAAATCCCGAGATCTCGGGTCTCTATCTCAAGTCCAATTTCTCGGGCCGTTTCCAATCAACCTGCCAAATTTCGGCCCATTCCGACACCGACGCAGCAAATGACAAAATTATCCCTGGTGCGATTTTTCTTTGTTAATTTTCTGTCCAACACTTCTTCAACCTGACATAATTAATAAGGAAATTAATTATTCGGAGGCCTAAACGAAGGAATTTGGCTAAAATCCCGTGATCCCGAGTCTGTGCCCCAAGTCCAATTTCTTGGGCCATTTCCAATCAACCTGCTAAATTTCGGCCCATTTCGACACTGCCGCGACAAATGACAAGATTACCCCTGGTGCGGTTTTGTGTTGTTAATTTTTTGCCCAACACTTCTTCAACCTAATATAATTAATACGAAAATTAATTATTCGGAGTCTTAAACGAAGGAATTTGGCTAAATCTCGTGATCCCGGGTCTGTGCCCAGATTCCAAAATCTAGGGCCATTTCCAATCAGCCTGTCGAATTTCGGCCCATTCCGACACCGTCGCGACAAATGACAAAATCGCCCCTGCTGCGGTTTTTCTTTGCTAATTTTCTGTCTAACACTTCATCAACCTGACATAATTAATAAGGAATATAATTAGTCGGAGGCCTAAACGAGGGAATTCAGATAAAACCCCGTGATCCCGGGTCTGTGCCTGGAGTCCTATATCTCAGGCCGTTTCCAATCAACTTGCGAAATTTCGGCCCATTCTGACAATGTCACGACAAATGACAAAATTGCCCCTGGTACGATTTTGTGTTCTTTATTTTCTGTCCAACACTTCTTCATCCTGACAAAATTAATACGAAAATTAATTATGCGGAGGCCTAAACGAAGGAATTTGGATAAAATCCTGAGATCTCGGGTCTTAGCTCTGAGTCCAATTTCTTGAGCCATTTCCAGTCAACTTGCCAAATTGATGAGTGCTCTACATTCATAAGATTTATGCCACCTAATTTGTTATTTTGTTACTTTTGAGAGTGTTTTAGAGCTTTTTATTGTGTGTTTTGATGTGGTGACCCAGTTTGATGAAATTGAAAGAAATAAGCAAAAGTTGGCGAAATTGGAGAAAATTGCCGAATTGTAAGACATCCAAAGTTCAGGGACTAAAGCGCAAATATTGAAAAGTTGTGTTGAACCTCGTAATGAAGATCCGAGCACGCTAGGAGTCAATTGGGTGAAAAAAGATGTCAAAGGGATCAAATTTAGTCAAAATATGATCACAAATCAATTTCCAACAGAAAAGTTGTACTCCGGAATTTCAGCCTCACATTGAGACTCATTTTTGACATAGGAAACGATCAAAGAGGAGAATAATATCTGAAGGAAATTTGTACCCCTTTGATTTAGCTTTCTAACAAGCTTTGAATCACCTCAATTGGACATCGGACGAGAATGTTATGCTAAAAATGCTGAAGGGCGTGCAGAAGGAATTTTTCACCCGAACTGGGGCGCCATGGCGTCCAAGATGGGCGCCGTGGCGCCAATGAATCTGAATTTTACAGTAAGGGCAGTGACATGGTGCCTACGCCGCCTATGCGGGTAAATGTATTTTCATATTTTTGGATTTCTTTCTCGGCCCATTCCAACCCAAAATCGTCCAACACTTGAGGAGACTATAAATACTACCTAAAAGACCTTAATTAAGAGGGGGGGAAACGACCAAGGAAAACTGAAGCAGCCGGCAAGAACGCGTGATTGGAAAGAGGAGTTTAGCCGGCCAATTGCAAAAATCTGGAGACAAATCCATGGCTGGTCAATACAATTAAAGAAGAGGAAGTTAATTGAGAGAATTTGGCAACAATGGAAGAAGAAATCGAGTGGCAAAAGCAAGTTTTTCTATTCCTTTTCTTCTCTATGTTCTTTCTTATTAATCTATTCATGTCAATTTTCTCAATTATAAACTATACAATTATTCTAGGGATGATATAGCCTACTTGAGACATGTTTGGATTTCGTTATAATTATTTCAATTGATCTTTCCTTTTTATTTATTTATGTTGTTTGTGCGCAATGCTTTCAATTAACTGGCCACTAATTGACTGATTTGATGTTCTAAATTTTGGCTCTCGAGAGAGGCAAAATTTGGCCTGATCTAAGACAACATAACCTAGATTTCGTAGGTTTCTAGAGAGAGTACGAATCTTTGATGCTTATTTTAATTAGGAACCACGTGCTTGATAATTTTTATATTTTTAATTCGGAATAGAGATATTGGAATTAATATATAAAAATAGATTTTATTTGGCGCTCGAGAGAGGGAAATAGAATCACTTTAGCGTTCTTGCCTATAAATTTTGGAAAGAATGATAGAAATAGTTATACGGTTGAAAAATATTGTCAAATGTACGGTGAAATCATTTCCTAGGCATTCATAAATTGATAAGAAACTTCATAATTTGCCCTCGTTTACTTGCATCGTTCATCTTATTTAATTTTAATTTAGCATAAAAATATTGACTCAAAATTTGATCATCTAAATAAAGGGAAAGCTAAAATAATTATAATACTCAATTGATTCAAATATCAATCCTTGTGGGTTCGACATCCTAACTTCTTTACTATATTACAAAACTTAACACCGTACACTTGCAGTTTAAAAATTACGTTGCATAAATCACGTGGCAAGTTTTTGGCGCCGTTGTCAGGGATTGATTTATTTGAATTCAATTGATATTATTACCAATTAGCTTTCATTTTACTTTAGATTTTTATTTCTATCGTAATTTTTATTTTTAGTTTATTCTTTTTGTATCTATCTTTAAGGGCTTCCTTATGGTTATTTTCAATTGTTTATGCGAAGGGCAAGAAATCTAGACCTACTACTTGTTGATCCTGAACCAGAACACAAATTTCGCATTCTCAGAGGCATACAAAGAAACGAACGAAAAGCAATGGCAGAACAGGATGCTAGAGAAGCCAATGAGGATAACCAACAAAGGGCTATTCGGGACTACATAAGGCCGGTTGTCAATGACAACTATTCTGGCATCGCACGCCCAGCAATTACTACAAACAATTTCAAACAGAAGCCAGGACTTATACACATAGTGCAGCAGAATCTGTTTGGGAGAGCTCCAATAGAAGACCCAAATGCTCATTTGGGGTCCTTTCTAGAGATTTGTGATACAGCGAAAATGAATGGCGTTACTGAAGATGCAATCCGACTTCGCCTATTTTCCTTTTCCCTAAGAGACAAAGCTAAGGCATGGTTCCAATCATTGCCATATGGATCCATCACAACTTGGGAGGGGTTAGCGCAGAAGTTTCTTACAAAATTCTTTCCACCTTCGAAGGCAACGCAATTATGGAGTGAAATTGGACAGTTTTGACAATTAGACTTTGAACCATTCTATTAGGTGTGGGAGATATATAAAGATCTATTTAGAAGATATCCTCATTATGGTTACCCAGATTGGTTGCAGATACAAACCTTCTACAATGGTTTGAATAGACAGACACAGATAGTGGTAGATTCTGCAGCAGGGGGTGCACTATTATCCAAAACTCCAAATGAGGCTTATGCATTATTGGATGAGATAGCTACTAATAGCTATCAATGGCCGAGTGAGCGTTCAAGTGCAAAGAAAGTTGCTGGCCTTTATGAAGTAGATCCTATTACTGCCCTTGTAGCTCAAATGTCATCTCTTACTAATCAAATAGATGCATTAACTTCACATGGATCATAAAAGAAATCAGAATCTATTATGGCTACATCCACTGCATACCAAAAAGTTGAAAGGAAGAATGAACAACTTCAGTATGGGAACGATCGAAATTTCAATCAAAAGGGAAACTACTCAGGAAACAACTACTATCAGGGTTTCAATAATCAAGCGTTTGAGCGAAAGCCATCACTGGAAGATATTTTAGGAAGCTTCATTTCAGATCGAGGTTCAACAAAGATGAGGCAAGACTTGACAGCATTGAGACACATATGACCAACTTGGGGGCTACGGTGAAGAATTTGGAAGTACAGATTGGTCAGATAGCAACTGCAATACAGTCTCAACAAAAAGGACAATTTCTCAGTGACACAGAGGTTAACCCACGAGAACACTGCAATGCTATCACCCTAAGAAGTGGTAAACCAGTTGAAGAACGCAAGCTTAGAGAGGTTGGGGTACCTATATCGGATCCCATTCTTGCAAGGGAAAAGCAAACTGAAGGGCAGAAAATAGAGGTAGAGGCAACAAAGAAGATTTATAAGCCTTACTCAATTTTATTTCCAGACAACCCACCTATCTTGAAGCCCCCACTACCATTCCCGCAGAGGTATTTGAAGAAGGAGTTTGATGAAAAATTCGCAAAGTTTTTGGAGGTCTTCAAGAAAATCCACATCAACATTCTCGTTGCAGAAACCTTGGCCCAAATGCCTAACTATGCCAAGTTCTTAAAGGAAGTGATGTCAAAGAAGAGAAAGTTGGAGGAATTTGAGACTGTTAAGCTGACAGAGGAGTGTAGTGCTATACTTTAGAAGAAGCTCCCTCACAAATTGAAAGATCTGGGCAGCTTCAACATCCCATGCAATATTGGTGGTATCACATTTGATAGGGCACTATGTGACCTTGGAGCTAGCATAAACTTGATGCCCTTATCAGTGTTCAAAAAGTTGGGTCTTGGAAAAGTAAATCCCACAACCCTTACCTTGGAACTGGCGGGTAGATCGATCACATATCCCAAAGGCATTATTGAAGATGTGTTGGTGAAGGTTGATAAGTTCATCTTTCCGGTGGACTTTGTGGTATTGGACATGGAGGAGGATGAGAAAGTACCATTGATTCTTGGCCGAGCTTTCTTGGCTACTGGAAGAGCATTGATTGATGTACAAGAAGGAAAGTTGACACTACGAGTTAATGAAGAGCAAAGTAACTTGCAACATCCATCAAGAAAAGAAAACCCCAGAAAAAGGAAAAGTTGACACTTGCAAAATGATCCAATCAGCTGAAGTAATTGCAGGAAACAGAGAAAAAAGGGAATTATTTTATGATCCGTTGGTGCAATACATGGAAATTAATTACTCAACAATGGATGCATCTACTGATGGTAATGACTCAGAGCTAAAGAAAGCAGTGGATTTCATCTTAGCTCAAGAAGCTGACCCACCTGACAAAAAAAGAGCTATGTAGATAGGCGTTTGAAACCTCCAAACATTGCCAAACCAAAAGAAGTCTTGAAAGCCATACCAGGGTCAAAACAGCCTAAGTTTGTTCACCATCTTACAATTAAGGAGAATGCAAAGCTGAAGATAAAGTTCAGAAACAAGAGAAATGGGCCACCTGAAGATCCACTGTAGGCGTTGCGGTTCAGTCAAGCTAATGACTATAAAGAAGCGCTTCTTGGGAGGCAACCCAAGCGTTCTTACCTTTTCACTTATTTTATTTTATTTGTTTTGAATTATAGGAGAGTTTATTTCATTTCAAAATTTTTCTTATTTAGGAATTCATCAGCCCTACCTCATCTCCCTTAAGTCTTTGAACAGTCTAGTTGGTTATTAGATGTTCGAGTCAAGTAACACTTGTTCCATGAATTTAATATCTACATTTTTAATTTTCAGAAACTTGACATCATGGAACAATCAAACCAATTGACGAAGAGTAACTAGATAAATATCAAGTTTGGGGGAGAAACTAGAAGAAGTATCAATCAAGTCCAGCATCATAGCACCAGACCATCATTGGCAATTCAGACAATTTAGGGAAGTTTTCCTCCTTTTCTTTTAATTTAACGTTGGGGGACAATGTTTAGTTTAAGTTTGGGGGTGTATCATAAATTTTCTAATTGCCTACATATTTTATTTTATTTTATTTTGTGTGATTTGTGTGCAATTTTTTTTAATATTCTTATTATGGTGCACTGTTAAAAAAAAATCATTTTTGTTTTGCATGCTTGTGTGAGTTAGATAACCTTGCCGATATTGATTTGTGTAATTGAGAACATGCATTGATTTATGGGTTATGGATAAGTTATGTGCTTGAGTTAGATTTTTGCTTATTTATGTAAAACGGAAATTATTTTTGCACGTGAGTTGATTGTGCCGTTGTGCATGATTAGGTTGATTCATGTTTATAGGTTAGATTAGAGAACTTAGATGCTAAACCCAAACATCTTTTGAACATCATATTACCTTTAAACCAAATATATGATTTTTGGTAGATTAAGCTGTTGTAGGGAAACTGGGAGATAAATGTGGATTTCGTGTGTGTTAAATTTTGTGTGGATTGTCTGAGACTAATAGGATGAAAATTGGGTGAAAACCTTAAGTTAGAGGTTTATTTTCGAGAATTGGTGTTTAATAAGGGGCATTGCACTAATCTTTGCAAAGAAAAAAAAGATCCCAATGAGGACAACTTTATAACCTCATTGTGAATCGTCTCTTCATAGCTTTTATGACTCGAGTGATTAAGCCTGTAAGAGTTTAAAATTTGGTGCCCTAAATTCGTCTGATTTGGGAGTCATCGGCCTAAAGCTCGTTATGGGGGTGATTTAGAAAGCTTAATAAGGAAATTAATTATTCGGAGACCTAAACGAAAGAATTTGGCTAAAATCCCGTGATCCCGAGTCTGTGCCCTGGGTCCAATTTCTCAAGCCGTTTCCAATCAACCTGCCAAATTTCAGCCCATTCTGACACCGTAACAACAAATGACAAAATTGCCCCTGGTAAGATTTTCTTTGTTAATTTTCTGTCCAACACTTCTTCAACCTGACATAATTAATAAGGAAATTAATTATTCGGAGGCCTAAATGATGGAATTTAGCTAAAATCCCGTGATCCTGGGTCTATGCCCCGAGTCCAATTTCTCGGGCCGTTTCCAATCAACCTGCCAAATTTCGGCCCATTCCGACACCGTCGCGACAAATGACAAAATTGCCCCTGGTGCAGTTTTGCATTGTTAATTTTCTGTCCAACAATTCTTCAACCAGATATAATTAATACGAAAATTAATTATTCGGAGGCCTAAACGACGGAATTTGGCTAAATCCCGTGATCCCGGGTCTGTGCCCCGAGTTCAATTTCTCGGGCCGTTTCCAATCAACTTGCCAAATCCCATTCTGACACCGTCACGACAAATGACAAAATTACCCCTGGTACGATTTTGCGTTGTTAATTTTCTACCCAACACTTCTTCAACCTGATATAATTAATATGAAAATTAATTATTCGGAGGCCAAAACGAAGGAATTTGGCTAAATCCTGTGATCCCGGATCTGTGCCCCGAGTCCAATTTCTCAGGCCGTTTCCAATCAACCTGCCAAATTTCAGCCCATTCCGACACCGTCACGACAAATGACAAAATTGCCACCGGTGCGATTTTTCTTTGTTGATTTTCTGTCCAGCACTTCTTCAACCTGACATAATCAATAAGGAAATTAATTATTCGGAGGCCTAAACGAATGAATTTGGCTAAAATCCCATGACCTCGGGCCTGTGCCCCGAGACCAATTTCATGGGCCGTTTCCAATCAACCAGCTAAATTTCGGTCCATTTCGACACCGTCACAACAAATGACAAAATTTCCCCTGGTGCGGTTTTTCTTTATTAATTTTCCGTCCAACACTTCTTCAACTTGACATAATTAATAAAGAATATAATTATACGGAGGCCGAAACGATGGAATTTGGCTAAATCCCGTGATCCCGGGTTTGTGCCCCGAGTCTAATTTCTAGGACCGTTTCCAATCAACCTGCCAAATTTTGGCCCAATCCGATACCGTCGCGACAAATGACAAAATTGCCCGGGTGTGGTTTTTCTTTGCTAATTTTCTGTCCAACACTTCTTCAACCTAACATAATTAATAAGGAAATTAATTATTCAGAGGCCTAAACGAAGGAATTTGGCTAAAATCCCGTGATCCCGAGTTGGTGCCTCGAGTCCAATTTCTCGGGCCGTTTCCAATCAACCTGCCAAATTTCAGCCCATTCCGACACCATCCCGACAAATGACAAAATTGCCCTAGTTTGGTTTTTCTTTGTTAATTTTCTGTCCAACACTTCTTCAACCTTACATAATTACTAAGGAAATTAATTATTCGGAGGCCTAAACGAAGGAATTTGGCAAAAATCTCGTGACCCCGGGTCTGTGCCTCGAGTCCAATTTCTTGGGCCGTTTCCCATCAACCTGCCAAATTTTGGCCCATTCCGACACCATCGCGACAAATGACAAAATTTCCCCTGGTACGATTTTTTGTAGTTAATTTTTCGTCCAACACTTCTTCAACCTGACATAATTAATAAGGAATATAATTATTCGGAAGCTGAAACGAAGGAATTTGGATAAATCCCGTGATCCCGGGGCTATGCCCCGAGCCCAATTTCTCGGGCCGTTTCCAATCAACCTGCCAAATTTCACCCCATTCCGACACCGTCGCGACAAATGACAAAATTGCCCTTGGTGCGATTTTGCGTTGTTAATTTTCTGTCCAACGCTTCTTCAACCTAACATAATTAATACGAAAATTAATTATTCGGAGGCCTAAACGAAGGAAATTGGCTAAATCCCGTGATCCCAGGTCTTTGCCCCAAGTCCAATTTCTCGGGCCGTTTCCAATCAAACGGCCAAATTTCGGGCAAAACCGACACCGTCGTGACAAATGACAAAATTGCCCTAGTGCGATTTTTCTTTGTTAATTTTCTGTCCAACACTTCTTCAACCATACATAATTACTAGGGAAATTAATTATTCGGAGGCCTAAACGAAGGAATTTGGCTAAAATCCCGTGACCCGGGTCTGTGCCTCGAGTCCAATTTCTTGGGCCGTTTCCAATCAACTTGCCAAATTTCGACCCATTTCCACACCGTCTCGACAAATGACAAAATTTTCCCTGGTACAATTTTCCTTTGTTAATTTTCCGTCCAACACTTCTTCAACCTGACATAATTAATAAGGAATATAATTATTCGGAGGCCGAAACGAAGGAATTTGGCTAAATCCCGTGATCCCGGGTCTGTGCCCCGAGCCCAATTTCTCATGCCGTTTCCAATCAACCCGCCAAATTTCGGCCCATTCCGACACCGTAGTGACAAATGACAAAATTGCCTCGGGTGCGGCTTTGCGTTGATAATTTTCTGTCCAACATTTCTTCAACCTGACATAATTAAGACGAAAGTTAATTATTCGGAGGCCTAAACGAAGGAATTTGGCTAAATCCCGTGATCCCGGGCATGTGCCTCGAGTATAATTTCTCGGGCAGGTTCCAATCAACCTGCCAAATTTCGGCACATTCCGATACCGTCGCGATAAATGACAAAATTGCCCCTGGTGTGGTTTTGCATTGTTAATTTTTTGTCCAACACTTCTTCAACCTGACATAATTAATACGAAAATTAATTATTCGGAGGCCTAAACGAAGGAATTTGGCTAAATCCCATGATCCCGGGTCTGTGCCCCGAGTCCAAATTCTCGGGCCGCTACCAATCAACCTGCCAAATTTCAGCCCATTCCGATACCATCGTGACAAATGACAAAATTGCCCCGGGTGCGGCTTTGCGTTGATAATTTTCTGTCCAACACTTCTTCAACCTGACATAATTAATATGAAAATTAATTATTCGGAGGCCTAAACGAAGGAATTTGCTTAAATCCCGTGATCTCGAGATAGTGCTCCGAGTCCAATTTCTCGGGCCATTTCCAGTCAACCTTCCAAATTTCGGCCCATTCCAACACCGTCGCTACAAATAACAAAATTGCCCCTGGTGCGGTTTTACTTTGTAAATTTTCTGTCCAACACTTCTTCAACTGACATAATTAATATGGAATACAATTATTAGGAGGCCTAAACGAAGGAATTTGGCTAAAATCCTGTGATCCCAGGTCTGTGCCTCGAGTCCAATTTCTCGAGCCGTTTCCAATCAACCTTCCAAATTTCGGCCCATTCCGACACTGTCGCGACTAATGACAAAATTGCCCCTGGTGTGGTTTTGTGTTGATAATTTTCTATCCAACACTTCTTCAACCTGACATAATTAATACGAAAGTCAATTATTAGGAGGCCAAAACGAAGGAATTTGGCTAAATCCAGTGATCCCAGGTTTGTGCTCCGAGTCCAATTTCTCGGGCCGTTTCCAATCAACCTGCCAAATTTCGACCCATTCTAACACCATTGAGAGAAATGAAAAAATTGCCCCTAGT